CATAATGCTTCCCCATAAATTAGGTGCATATCAGCATATTCTGCACAGGAATATTCTTCCATTTTTAAATGTTATTTCTAACGGCTTAAAACGAATACCACAATAAAATTGAATTTTTATTCTGTCACGCGCCTTTGACAAGTACTTTAAAATCAACAGGGTCTAACAACGAAAACAATAGAAAAGAACTCCATGGAGACAAGAGCAATAATAATTTGTAGATGTATTTTGGTCATAGATGTTGATTTTACAAGAAACGGCATTATTCATTCCCTTAATTCACCACCAGTAAATGTTTATGGTGAATCTGTAGGCTGGCACTAGCGGGAATGATTTTATTGTAAAAAAATAAATTTTAATTGTTGTTGTATTTGTTACCAATTTTTTTCAAAACCGATTTATCTCGCAAACCGTTCATTTTTTCGAAATAAATAAAGAGTACCATTTTTAAAGAAAAACCTTCAGAGTATCTAATAATAATATTTTCAGTTTGATAAAATTACTTCTGTCAAAATTTTGAGAAAAATTGTGATAGGGCCAGTCCGTTTCTGGACACCTGATAATAGCAAAAAGTTGATTTTAGCATCAAATCGTAGAGCTCCATGTGTAATACAACGTACGAAAATTTTATTAAAATATACAGGGTGGTTTCAAAGTTATAACCCTAAACGTTAATTTCTAAGTACCCCTTTGACCCCCCATAACTCCGTTAGGGGGCATATTAGGAAAAAAAATTATAGGAAGGACTAGTTTTATTTTGACCTCCCCTTTACACTCCCGAGAGATTAGGAGGTACTTACCGGACACCCTGTATATGTAAATGTAAAATGCACTGACCTCAAACATAAAAGTATTAACTTCGTCCTGAATTCCTTTGTCGTCAATACTTTCATTGCTGATTTTGGCATTAAGCAATAAGTCTAACATGGCTAATTTCTTTCTCTTCGAATAATTAAACTCCTCATCGTTTTCGCTGATAGGCACCTTAAATGTTTCAAATTCTTTTGATCTTTCCGTAATCACCTTATTTGTAAAACTGTGCAAGATTTTTACCAATCGTTTCTCCTTGTAACCGAGAACCATAAAATAATAATATATTTTATTGAAATACAGCCAAGGTCTTGTTATTCGGTGCGTTATTATCTTTCCTATTTGATGAGTGGCTTCGCAATACGACCTATCTTCTTCATTTTCGAGGTTTAATTTGGTACCCATCGAAGTTTCTGCCATCCAAAATATTATTAATAATTTGTAAAAAGATAATTTATTTGTACCCACCGTTCATTGCACCTAAGGTAAACTGTGAAATGTATGGTACAACATTTATATAAGGTTGCTGGCAAATTTTCCTCAATTGTTTTACTAAATTATCAGTTTCAGTTGTAAACACACCTACAAATTGCTGCAGTATACTGAAGTGAAAAGCAGGGGTTAATATTTTTCTCCTGGTTTGCCACTTGGATCCTGAAAGCACAGAATACTTATTTTAGTTATTTTGGTGTTTGCTGATCGGAAACTAAATTCTAATTTTTCGTATTCTATTAACTTAATGAGTTCCTATCACAAAAAAACATGTACGGTTTATCATACCAGTACTTGTTAAGAGTCCATTTCCCAACCACAAATCTAAAAATGAATAGGCTGCACTTTTTTCTATATTTTTTGTTGTAGACGCCATTGCCTAAAAGAAAAAACAACATTTTTACTTACATGAACACTAAAGACAAAATGAGCTTTTCTCTTTGGAAATATTGAGAAATTTTGGAAATAAATGGGATCTCTATTTTTTCTTTCGTTGTTCGGTACTGATTTGGGTTCAAATAAAGAATTACTGAATGAGAGATTCATATTTTGAAGTGTTTACCTCAAAATCTTCTGGACTGCATATATTAGCTGAGATGAAAAGAGCAGCTGATAGCTTGTACACTGGATAATATTCTTTGCTCCATTTTCTAACCTTTTTAAACAGAGTAGCTAAAAATATGCGCAACCGACATATATTAAGTTAATATATGATTATGGTAAAAATGACCTACCTTCATCACTTAAAACGTCCGGCAAATTTCCCAAAATTGAATACATTTTTGGACCTGGCAGCTTCATTATTAATGTGAAATATCTGATAAATTCCCGCACATATTTAAAACTGAAAATTATTGCCGCTATTGTAGTAAGTAAGGTAATAATTAGAAACATTGTACCTAAAAAATATTTAAAATGTTTACACTTGTTCTCAAATTTGTTATTACTGACTTTTAATTTTATACTTTTATACTTACTTATTTGATGCTTTCTAATTAATGTCGTTAAATATGAGTGTGCATAATGTATTCTTTCTAAAATAAATTAATTTCAAGAAAAAATAATTTGTGATGAAGGAAACGTAGAGTAAACTTTATTATAACAGAAATGATGTGATTAAATTTCTTGTTTATCAGTGAATTAGTACAAAATAGTGATAAAGTCGAAAATGATTAGATATAAACTTGCACAATAACCTTAATGCATCTTAGGCGGTTGTTACAGTGGATGTGATTCGTACGAAAATCTGTAGTATGAGATGGCAGATTAGAACAAATACGTGTATTTCTACTTAAGCGGTTGCACTTGTAACTGCTCTATCTCGTACAAATGTTAAGAATTTGTATAATTTCGTGATAACCAGATTTTCATACGAATTTGTATCTTATGTTANTCATATTTTGAAGTGTTTACCTCAAAATCTTCTGGACTGCATATATTAGCTGAGATGAAAAGAGCAGCTGATAGCTTGTACACTGGATAATATTCTTTGCTCCATTTTCTAACCTTTTTAAACAGAGTAGCTAAAAATATGCGCAACCGACATATATTAAGTTAATATATGATTATGGTAAAAATGACCTACCTTCATCACTTAAAACGTCCGGCAAATTTCCCAAAATTGAATACATTTTTGGACCTGGCAGCTTCATTATTAATGTGAAATATCTGATAAATTCCCGCACATATTTAAAACTGAAAATTATTGCCGCTATTGTAGTAAGTAAGGTAATAATTAGAAACATTGTACCTAAAAAATATTTAAAATGTTTACACTTGTTCTCAAATTTGTTATTACTGACTTTTAATTTTATACTTTTATACTTACTTATTTGATGCTTTCTAATTAATGTCGTTAAATATGAGTGTGCATAATGTATTCTTTCTAAAATAAATTAATTTCAAGAAAAAATAATTTGTGATGAAGGAAACGTAGAGTAAACTTTATTATAACAGAAATGATGTGATTAAATTTCTTGTTTATCAGTGAATTAGTACAAAATAGTGATAAAGTCGAAAATGATTAGATATAAACTTGCACAATAACCTTAATGCATCTTAGGCGGTTGTTACAGTGGATGTGATTCGTACGAAAATCTGTAGTATGAGATGGCAGATTAGAACAAATACGTGTATTTCTACTTAAGCGGTTGCACTTGTAACTGCTCTATCTCGTACAAATGTTAAGAATTTGTATAATTTCGTGATAACCAGATTTTCATACGAATTTGTATCTTATGTTACCGCCGCCTTAAGCATGGGGCGATAATGGAAAACATGTATTGCTCTATATGCAGCATATAAGCCAACATAGAGACAACATTTTGAGAACAGTGTATAATTGAATCCCTATTTCCAAATTAAATCAAACGATATTCTAAGAAAGGAGACGGCAGGATCCTTATGGGAAATGGATTTCGGTCAAACTTGCTGAAACTTTGAATTCTGGTGGTACCTACCCGATTTACTGTTAAATAAGTTGATGACAATGTTTTATGTTTTTATGAAATTCTTAATTCTGTCATTACTTTATATGTACCTAAAGTAAAAATTAAATATCATAATTTTACAAATTATTTACTGTTGAAACAATAAATAAGCTTAAAGAAAAAATTAGGTATCATAAAAAAAAGGAAATTAAGAAAAAAATTTGGGTATGTTTCTGGAAAAAATATAATTGATTATGTCATTTGTCGTTTCTGTCAAATCTCAAATATAATATTTTTCGATTGAGAATGGAGCTTACCTCATCCCATTTAACACCAGGCGCCCCAAATTTTATTTAAATTGTTTATATCCTCACAGTAGGCCCATACTATCGAGTTTGAAAAACCCTGTACTCATGTAATCAGTTGGGCTCAGTCGATTAAAAACTTATTTTAAACTAGATGATTCACTGGTCAAGGTTAGTTAGCAATTATAAAAACAGTTTACAGATTGATTTCAACAAAAATTAACTTTAAAATTGTTTTTATAGGCAATTAACTTCAGTAAATATTTTTATTTTCTATTGATGTATACTACTACATTTTTTTACAGAAAAATATAAATCATTCTCTAACATATCTCTAGAAGTAGAAAGTAGGTATACAAGGTGTAATCAAAAGATTTGACTAAACCTTAATGGTGGATTTTGCGTCAAAATTTTGTAATGTAACTTTTTGATTATACACAAACATACATGCCACAGTTGTTTTAGGTACAGGTTCACAATTTTATGGACAGATTTTGTAATTTTTGTTACTATATGCGCTAAGATTCAAGTGTTGGCAAAGGGCATATACAGACAGATAATTATTGAACGTGTCTTGACGTCAAGTTTTTTTTCAATAATAACTTAGATAATCAAAAAAATAATCAATTACATGTTCTTTTTCAACCGTTGTTAATTAGTTTGCAATTATTTAATTAATTATGACATTCTGACAAGCATCCTAATCACATCTTGTAGAGTCACTTTTACTTAGCTCGTATAGCAAACATTGTTTTATGTTGATGATCTCGTTTCACAGTAACTCGCTCTATATCACATTCGCATTTTGTCCTAGAAAGGCAATTTATTCTAAAGTAAGGGCGGTGAACAAAATTATGAACGTAATGTACACAAAAAGAATATAGACACAAAACTTATTATGGTTACAGTAATTACGTACATCTATAGGTAAAATTATACTACCTGTATTAGACTTGATGCTTTATTGAAACACGAATTGCAACAAATATCATATGACTTCTTGTATTTTTCTTAATATGTAAACTAAGTTTTTATTTAATGCTATAGATAGATACACATGTTAAGTAGTAAATTTCAATATATAGGTAACATTTTGAAAATTTTTTAATTCAGATGTTTTAAAGCAGTTAATTTTTTTCCGTTACAATGTCATGAGCCACTCAACTATTTTTTCTTGGTATCAGCTTTACTCTCACAACGTCGTTTTTTGCTCTTAGCACTATGTCGGCGACAAGAACTATATTATCCGGAGTATCCACAGGATCCAACTCAAAGTTCCTTAATATTCCACATAGAGCCACTTTCAACTCCAAAAGAGCAAATCTCTGACCTACAAAAGTATATTTTTGTTTGCTGCTTTGACAATTTTTAAAGAAGCTTGATTTAATGACTTTTTATTAACGATTTGTACCTATACAATTCCTAGGTCCGGCACTAAACGGAACGTAAGCGAAAGGGTGCCGATCTTGACAATTTTCTGGTAAAAATCTGTCCGGATCAAATTTTTCCGGATTTGGCCAAATCGTTTGGTTCCTATGTATATCAAAAATGTGGATATGGGCCATTGTTCTCTTTGGTAAAATGTAGCCATTACTTGTTTTAACGTCTTCTTCTAACACTCTTGCAATAAACGGCACACTCGGATATATTCTTAGGCATTCCTTAATGCACCTTTCCATGAACTTTAACTCCTGTAGATCATTGTAAGTGGGTCGCGCTTTTGAATCTGGGATAACATTATTTATCTCTTGCAAAATTAACTCCTGAAAATATACTTTTTGATTAATTCGAAATTGTAAGAGGTGAGAATAAATATGGAAATGTTATATTAAGGCTCATTTACATGATGATAGTTTTTGTGATAGTTACTGTCATGACAACAACTGTCACAAGAATTATCATTATCGCACCATCACACCCAGTTATCTCTTTCGATCAAATTGATAAACGTAATGTTGTGAATGTAACTTTCACATCTACTATCATCGTGCATACCACTTTGACCTTGATAATGTGATAGTGATTAGTTCAGAGTTAATCATACTAGTAGCTAGAGTTGCAGCATTAGTAACGATACTATCACATCGGGTAGACATTGTAGTAGTTTCGTGAAATAACTACCACGGCGTAAATGAGTCTTTATTTAACATTGATTCCTTGAAAGAAAATTCAGTTCTTACTTGCACATCCTTATGGTTGGCGAGTACCATCAATGTAAAACAAAGCGCCATTGAGGTTGTATCGTGACCCTAAAAATGCTTTTCGGACGTATTCATTTAGATTATGGAAGAAATATTAACAAAAAAAACGATATTTAACTCCAGTTTATTTCTACAGGTAGAATAATTTTTGTGGTGTGTTATGAAAGCTAAATAAAATAGTGATTTGATTACTTATTTTCATCACTTCACTGACAAACATGTTTTTTTTTCTAACTATACCATGAAGAGAACATTTTGTGTAAAATATTATTAATAGTAATAACTTTAATTAAGTACAATATATAAGTTCAAAGCAAATCAATTAAACAACATAATTTTATATATTCTTCGTCATTACAAATTAATAAAAATTTAATTTAGATAATAAGGAGTAACTAATTTTTGCATTTCGTTGATGTATTTACTAAAAACAATGAATATATAAATAATGCACTGACCTCAAACATAAAAGTATTAACTTCGTCCTGAATTCCTTTGTCGTCAATACTTTCATTGCTGATTTTGGCATTAAGCAATAAGTCTAACATGGCTAATTTCTTTCTTTTCGAATAATTAAACTCCTCATCGTTTTCGCTGATGGGCACCTTAAATGTTTCAAATTCTTTTGATCTTTCCGCAATCACATTATTTGTAAAATTGTGCAAGATTTTTACCAATCGTTTCTCCTTGTAACCGGGAATCATAAAAAAATAATATAATTTATTGAAATACAGCCAAGGTCTTGTTATTCGGTGCGTTATTATCTTTCCTATTTGATGGGTGGCATCGCAATATGACCTATCTTCTTCATTTTCGACATTTAATTTGGTACCCATTGAAGTTTCTGCCATCCAAAATATTATTAATAATTTGTGAAAAGACAATTTATTTGTACCCACCGTTGATTGCACCTAAGGTAAACTGCGAAATGTATGGTACAACATTTATATAAGGTTTGTGACAAATATTCCTCAATTCTTTTACCAAATGATCAGTTTCAGTTGTAAACACACCTACAAATTGCTGCAAGATACTGAAGTGGAAAGCAGGGGTTAATATTTTTCTCCTGGTTTGCCACTTGGACCCTGAAAATAAAGAATACTTATTTTAGTTTTTTGGTTTTATTTTTCAAATTCCAAAGAGGAAATATCAGCTTTATTCATACCAGTACTTGTTAAAAGACCTTCTCCCAACCATAAATCTAAAAATGTATAGACCGCACCTTTTTCTATATTTTTTGTCGTAGACGCAATTGCCTAAAAAAAACAAAACTTTTACTTACACGAGCAAACATTGTGAAAAGGAAAATATTGGGAAGTGTAAAATGGATTCTGGAAATAATAATTTGTGTTCAAATAAAGAAATATTAATATTTTGAAGTGTTTATACCTCAAAATCTTCTGGACTACTTATATTGGCTGAGAAGTAAAGAGCAGTTGATAGCTTGTACACTGGATAATATTCCTTGCTCCATTGTCTAATCTTTTTAAAAAGAGTAGCTGAAAGTATGTGCAACCCAAATATATTAAGTAAGTATATATTTAAATGGTAAATATGACCTACCTTCGTCACTTAGGAGGTCCGGCAAATTTCCCAAAATTGAATACATTTTTGGCCCTGGCAGTTTCACTATTAATGTGTAATATCTATTAAATTCTGGCATATATTTAAAACCGAAAATTATTGCCAATATTGCAGTAAGTAAAGTAATAACTAGAAACATTGTACCTAAAAAATATTTAAAATTTTAAATTTACACTTTTTCTCGAATTTGTTAATATTGATTTTTATTTAATAATTTTATACTTACCTATTTGATACTTTTTGGTGTCGCTAAATACTTATAATGTATTATTTCTAAAACTAATTAAGAAAAATTTATTGTGCAGAGAATTAGTGCAATACAGTGAAAATTTGCACATAACTTTAATGCATCTTAGGTGGCTGTTACAGTGGATGTGAATTCGTACGAAAATCTGTAGTACGAAATGTTAGATTAAAACAAACACATGTATTTCTGCTTGAGCGGTAGCACTTGTAACCTCTCTATTCGTACGAATGTTAAAAATTTATATAATTTCGTGAGAAACTGATTTTCATACGAATTTGTTTCTTATGTAAGCGCCGCCTTAAGCTACGTCCAGACGGAGAGATATTGGAAAACGTGTATTGCTCTATGAAGAATATATCAGCCAACATAGAGAGACAACATTTTGAGAGCAGTATAACTGAACCACTATTTCCAAATTAAACTAAACGACATTCTAAAAAATTTGCCGTTTTCAGATTATATATTCTTAGCAATTTTCTGATTAGTTATTTATTGAAATAGTTTAACGACCTAAATATCTACAGAAACACTATTTAGAGAAAAACAGCCTGGGATAGAATCACAATATAAGTAGCAATTTAATATTTTTCAGAAACTGTACTTTTGCGGATTTCTGCTGAAAATAAGCATGTGATATAGACCAATTTGTTCTAAAGCTAGGTACACGTAAATTGAGACCCTTTACCCCAGAATTCTCCCGGTAGTACGCATATTGTACTTCCGCAGACTAATTTTGATTAATTTTTGATAGACGCTAAACCCATAATCGTTAAATCAAAACCCGACAACTCACAAACCCTGAACCAATAACCCATAAAACGTTAACCCATGCACTTTAAATCCATAAACCTATAGATTCCAACTCCATACACCAAACTAATACCTGAGTCGTAGACTCATAAACCAAAAATCCTATTAATTCTAAACCCTAAATTCATAAATCCTTATTCCAGAAACCCTCGACCCACAAATTTTGACTCACCAACTCTAAATTCCTAACCCATAAAATCTAAACCCATATACCCTAAACCTATATGTCACAACTCATGCGACAACTGAGGCCAAGCCACCACCAACCATGCAGGTAGGCTCAAACATTTTTACGCATGTTTTGAAGATTTTACGCAATTTCGCTAAAAGGCCATGATTGCTGTTAAAAGTCATCAGCCGTACCAGATGCTGACCAGGAATTCGCTCAATCGCCCAGAAGCCGCCAACACCGCGAATTTTCGAATTTTGTCAAAATTGAATAAATCGAAAAAATTCAAAACTCGAACTACAACAAGGGCTTAGGGTCATTCTTTAGAGACGACCATAATCTACAAAGGGATGGTTTTCCAAAGATTAAATTTTCCAAACCTGGCACGGACTTCACTCCAGAACCCCTGTAGAGTCAATATCAAGAGTCTTCGAACATCAGTTCAATAACCAGTGTCGGATCCTGTTGAACACTAGAATTACACTCTAAATTATTTCTTGCTTTGCATCATATGCAACTGTTACGTTCATTTATTGATAACACAGGCCAACAAGGAAAAAATTCCAGAGATCAGACACTACGTTTCCGAAGGCATTTGGCGCGCTGAATCCGAATCTGGCCTCAGAATTGATCCATCACCCTAGGTTTCCGAGATATTCTAACCTAAAAGTGCAAAAAACACGTATTTTTGCTATAATCAAGGTTATGTAACTTGGCGAAAAAATTTTATTTCTCAAAACTGAAAATATCATTGGAAACTACTATCTTTCCCCTTCAAAACGCATTTTTTTTATTTGTAAAAAGCTTTATTTTTCGCGGAGATATCGATTAAAGATGATCAGTATAGCTTCCTTATTAAACCATGGCTATAACACAATATCACTAAGCGCTACGAACCTTAGAGAGCTCGCAGCGCTTAGTGTTATTGGGTAATAGGGCTTGAAGTTAACCTTCCTGACGATTAGGGCTCACAGCGCTTAGTGTCGTGGGGTTATAGGGCTTGGGATTAACCTTCCAGACATATAGGGCTTGGGGTTAACCTTCCTGACGATTAGGGCTCGCAGCGCTTAGTGTTATTGGGTTATAGGGCTTGAAGTTAACCTTCCTGACGATGAGGGCTCGCTCCGCTTAGTGTTGTGGGGTTATAGGGCTTGGGGTTAACGTTCCTAACAATTAGGGCTAGCAGCGCTCAGTGTTATGGGGTTAGCCATGATGTAATAATATAACCATACTGGTCATCTTAAATTGACGATATCTCCGCGAAAAATAGAGCTTTTTCCAAATGAAAAAATGCGTTTTGAAGGGGAAAGATAGTCGTTTCCAATGATGTTTTAAGTTTTGAGAAAAAAAATTTTTCGCCAAGTTACATAACCTTGAATATAGCAAAAGTACGTGTTTTTTGCACTTTTAGGTTAGAATATCTCGGAAACCTAGGGTGATGGATCAATTCTGAGTCCAGATTCGGAAGCGTAGTGTCTGATCTCTGGATTTTTTTTTAAATTTGGTCGGCCTGTGTAATTAAGCTAAAAATAAACCTCACAAATTTTTCAAATTCAAAACTGAGTTAAATTTCTCTCAAAAAATCAAAACGATCTCAACGCTTCCATTGCTCAAGTAGCACATACTTACTATCTAAGCTTTGTCTACCCTAAGCTTCCATATAGGTACAAGTTTTTAAAGCTTCCATTCACAAGTGCTCCAAGGAGGCAATATAAACGCAAGTTCTTAAAGCTTCCACACTAGCTTCTAAAACTTTCATATATACATTCTAAGGAGGTCACACAAAGACACAAGAGTATCATACTTGACAGTGCTCCCATAAAACAATGAGCTCAGTGCAAAAAAAGGTTACATCGAAAACCTCACCTAAACAATAAACACATACCCACAAACTAAAACATATCGCAGTGTAATACGTTTTTAAGTACAAAAATAGAGCGTGGATCATTATTTCAAGATCAAGTAATCCCGTCATCAATGGAGGAAGAGCAATAGTATTGGCGTTCACCGCTGGTTTTGGTGTGAAGGGGGAGACGCCCGAGCATCCCGTAACCCCTTAACAAGCGAATGGAGAGTCCAGGTTGTTCAACCACTTTTACGTGTTAACGGATAATGAAAATGAGACAACCAGTCAAAATCCATGACAAAATTCAGAAACGATGTTGTCTGTACCCGACAATTATCGCCCTGTCTGAACGTAGCTTCAAAATAAAAATATGTAATAACGTACAGAATGAATGGGATTTTTTTAAATCGTCTAACTGACCTTATGATCTGGTTCAAACTCCATAAAAACACTGATAACAATATAAGTGATTACATTTGCACTTCTCTAAGATAAGGTTTAAATGTATATACATTGTAAAAGGACAATGTTATTCTTTTGGTAGACCTTTTTCAAATATAATTAAATACTTTTTTTCATGGGATTTCTATTGCAATTGTGGATATTAGCTTATACTAAGAAATCCTTAGGACGTTGGTTTACGTAATATACTAATTGTGCATTTAAATTAATTAATCCGCTAAAGGATTTATGTCGGAGGGTATGTGGAAGTAACTCTTCTAACTTAAAGGGGCTAATTGTTTGTTACATAAGATTGATGAAAACTCAGGTTCACCATATCTACTCTATTTTACTATTGCAGACAATTAAAATAAACGCCAAGTAAAAAACTCAGTCAGTTATAATATTATCAAATTGACTGACACAAAACTGCGAATAATTGCACTACAAACTTTAAAAAATAATGTATTACTCGTATCGTAACACTTAAGATAAAGTATCTCTAAATGCTTAGCGTGATTAAAATTGGAATATTTAATTAATTAAAACTATTATTATTGTTACAAAAACTTTAATTTTTTTGTTTTAATAATAAACCTCTAACAAATTATACTATTTCAATGATTGTTTCAGACTTCAGTGGTTATATTGTATACTCGAGATGACACTGTAGTAGAGCTGGGCAAAATACTTTCAAAATGTATTGAAAATACAAATTACAAAACGCTAGCACGAAAGTATTTGAAAATACTTAAAAACAAAATACTTCTTTGGCAAAGCATTTTAAATATAAATTACTTAGTATTTAAAATAGTATTTTAAGTATCTATGTTGAATCCCTACTAATATTATAAATGTGAATGTAAGTTTGTTTGTTACGCTTTCACGCGAAAACGCGAATTGTTTAAAAAATCTAAACAAGTTAGAAACGATAACTCTTCACTGTACTACTCATGCAAGTGTTCTTCAGGGTGTGAGATAACTGACAACACATTTTAAGTAAGAAAAAAAAAACATATTTTTTTATCTTACGTTTCCTGAACTTTCCACGACTGTTGAACATACAGATAAAAGCGTACGGTATTATAAACATACCCACACCCAGCAGAATGCTTTTAGGATACTATTTATACATGAATTAATAAGAATTATTGAGTAGTTTTATAAATCAATTGGACAAAACAGGAAAGGTACGTGTTCTGATATTTTATATTATCCGTCATCTTTTCATGCCGAGCAATTGAAGAAATCCTTCGTATTTCAACATTTCTATAGTTTGGATACTATCGAAAAGAGGGCGATAGTCACAGTTGTCGTTCTAAGGTATTTTTTGCCGAACCAGAGCCGGACTAACTTCGATATGTTTGAGTTGTATTTGCGCTGATTTTAGATAATATAAAAGAATGTGATGGCAGTGCTTGTTTAAATGGGAATATTAAGCTTTGCATGTAAAATAATCGTAATAATAAAAATGTTATTCCGAGTTCTTACGAATACTGTTAAATACTAATAAGTAAGTTAAAAAATTTTAATTCTGACAATTAATAATTAGTCTAATAGTAAAAGAGCTATAAACACAAATAAATTATAGTACTTAATACACATATTTTGATAATAGTCCAGATAATATAATCGATAATATAATTACTAGAGAAGAAAGAATTAGGCAAATGCCATTCGGTATCAGTCAGTCTAAACTAAAATAGAGCGTGATAAGATAATTAAAATTTCCTACACAGTGGCAGTTTTTTTTAGAAGCGGGGGAGTCAGTGTCTCCCTAAGATTTCTTTAAAATATTTTTCACAAATTGATTTTTGTATGTTTTACTAGTTATTAGATCCAGTATAATTTTAGAAACCATAATTCTGAATACAGAATTTTGTATGTAATATTTACTGTTGCTTGTTGAAGAGTGACTTCGAGTTATTATTACATTTTTC